AAGGAAGATAGTGAACAAATGAACACACAATTGATATGAACACACAATTGAAAATTGATATTTTAATTACAGCTAGTCAGTTATTTAATGATGCTTATATTTAAAGAAAGCTTTTAAAGAAAGCTTCATTGAAAACCATAAATAATTTGGTAGTTGGCCCAAATCCTACCTTAATTAATATACCAGATTCATAACCAATTTTATAGGCTAACCTTGTTTTGCCCAATATTTTATGTAGAAAGAATTTTATATTATTTTTATACTCTTTACATTTTATACTGTATACATGTATATACTTTTATGTACTTAAGATGATTTGCTAAATTAAGGTGGGAAGAATTCAAAGAACTCACGGATGCTTTTTATCATAATAATATCCTTTGTGTAATTGCAATAAGGAACCTCTTAAAACATTTACATGAAGAGAACAGACAAGGGATTCTTTCAAGCTTTTCATACTGTTGTGAAAAATGGGGTATTTCACTTCGTGGGTACATTGCTTGATTTAATATAACTGCATCGTCCATGAAGTGAGGTGTGCTTTATAATGAAAGTCTGTTACAGTCTAGGTACCATTCCTTACTGTTGAAGTTTCCATTTGCTTCAGTAGAATTTCTTTCATACATTTCAGGGGCTGGGGTGAACCTAAGAAATATGTTAGCTGACCTAATACCTCTTTGTTAACTTTTGACTAGAAGTTCTAATTAAGGCACAGTGGGGAAAATCTTTAAATACAGGAGTGTTCCAAGAATAATTAATGGCTTTGAAAGTTACAGCACTCACAAATCCTGTGTTTATATTTGTGCCTTTGCTTTGATATAGTCAAATATATATTTAACATATGTGAATATATAGTATATGTATAGATTAGACACATATTTTTATGTGTGTGAAATGATAAAGACATGTATAGAGAGGCCCCTTTAAAGATCTCTAAATAAATTTAAACAAATACAACAGGCAATTGCATAGTGTTAAGGAGAGAGCGCCTGACTTTCAACTCTAGACAGAAGGGTTTTGAGCAGTAAACTCAGCCATGTTCCATGTCTGTGTTTTAATATTGTTCTGTCAAAAGGAGGGTATTGGTCATTGTGATTTCCAAGGTTCTCTTTAGCTCTAAAATCCTTTGACTCAATGACTGTAATGGAATTTGTAGCCTAATTCAGTACTAAGTGTTTTGCCTTTCAGTTCAAGAGTGAAGAGTAACCCTGCTAATGAACCAATCCTTTTATGCACTAGTTGATGCCCTACAAAGTTTGTTATTGTATAATATGACTGGAGATTTGTTCTTTTTAAAGCTTTTCTGTGTTAGGAACCGCTTGCATTCTAGGGAGCAACTTAGATATTTCTAGAAGACATCTAAGTCATTTGAATCTGAACTCGAACCTTGTGGTGAGCTTGATTTTTCTCCTTAACATACTGTTTTTAGAAAAGCAATTTTTCTTTCTCTGGCTTTCTCAGTTCCTTGCACATAGCAGGCACTCAATAAATATTTATTGAATTGAATTTGACCTGCTTAGAAGTCAGTCCTGGTGCAGAGTTACTCGTTTTGGGCAGGAGTTGTCATAAATCACAGAGTTTAATACTAATCCAACTGATGAACTCTACACTCAGCAGCATTTCATAGTTCAGCTTGTATGTTATACTTTCCTGAAGGCACATTTAGAAAACTGTGTGGCCTATAGGAGCCCTGATGAATGGAATCTAGCTCATTTTAAATCTGCCTGTGCCACTCACCTGCAGGCTCCCTATGCCTTCACCCCTTAGAATGACTTCATTAACTCTTTTCTTTCTGCTCTACTTTCTGGTGCCTCACAAGCCTTTGCCCACCCTTTTGCCTGGAATATTCCTTTTGCAAATGTAGGTATGCCTTTTTTGATACTCATGGCAAGTTATGAGTGAGCTGCTGCTTTTCTCCTCCAGCACTTTGTACTCTCCTCCATTAAAGCCTTTAATGTGTCCTGTAATTCTTTTTTAAGCCATCTGTCTTTTTCACTGGAAGACTCCTTGAGGACAGGTCTGTGATTTATTTCATTCTGAATTCCCTAGGGCCTGAAACAATGCCTGACACATAAACATTTATAGAATTAACAAATGGGTCCTGAAGTTCATGGAAATTTGCAAATGGTGTAAAAATAAAAATGTAAATGAGGTTAGCCAGGGATCATTAATTATATGCCTAATTCTAATTAAGTTGCGATATAGTTAGAAAGAAGATCAGCCTGAGATTCAGAAGATGCAGGCTCTTGTGTTAGATTAATGATTTTTTAATAGTCCCTTAATCTTTGTAGTTCTTCGTTTCTTTATCTGAAAATGAATGAATTGGACAGGATCTTTCCAAAGATCCCTTAGAGCAAGAATTACATTGCTCCTAAGTTAATTATAGGGAACTAGGCCTCTTCTGCCAGACTCCTTGAGGGAGGAAGTATGTTCTAGTCATCTATAATTTCCTGGCAGTAAGCTCAGTACCTGGTATATAGTAGTTATGCAAACAGTTGTACCAACTAAAGCAATAAATGCCCAGATAGAATTACAATTCAAATAAAGCAAATGAGAAAAAGCTCACGTAGAGAATAGTAAATTAAAAATCTGTTACACTTAAAATAATCTGTTAAAGAACATTTACTTGGAATGTCTGAAGAAAATACCTGAGAGAATTTTTTTTATCAGTTAAATGTTCACCAGTAGACGAAATTAATTTGAAATTGCCTAGTCTCCTAACTCTAAGTTAATAATTTATCAATCTGTGACATGCTGTACCAAGTTTTATGTTGCTGAGATTAAACTGTGCCTGCTGTAGGATGTGGCTGGCGATATTTTTGCAATTTGTATATACTTGTGATACTATCTTACAGTTTTAAGAATTAAAAAACTGTATCTTGTTTGGATTTGTCAAATCATTGACATATTTGAGACTTCATCAGTCTTTAGGGCAGAATGAGCTTCTCTGATTATATCAAAGTCCCAAAAGTAGAAAGAAGGTAAAAAGCTTTATTAACCCCTTTAACTATACTTTTCTCATGATTTGGTGTTATTTAATTAATTATATGGCATCTTCCCTATTAAATACTCTTATATTTAATCTTTGCTTGTGCCTTTGGATTATTGATTTGAACACTAGTATATTCAATCATGAAAATAAGGCAGTAATATAATAATATGATTTATGTGTGTGTATGTACTGAAGTATTCTGCAGAATCAACTAAGCCATCCATTTGTCACATCTGTACTATATGCTAGATACTTCTACATTGTATACAATAGCAAGGTGGAAGATATAATGCCCTCTGTTAATGTGTGAAATGGTTGTCTTAACTTAAGGACTGTTGCTTGAGAGTTTGAGTCAGATTTTTTTCCCCACACACACAAAAATCATATGGTTATTTCTTAAAGCAAGTGTGCTCGTAAGTGTGAATACTTTTTTTTTCATTTGTTGTTTCCTGGATTTCTTGTGTTTGTGGTTCTTGAAATTATTACTGTTCAACTGTTTTCTATTTGGCCCAGGCCCTTCTGTGAGCACTCAGGGGTGAATCCATGTTTTGTTGAACTTGAAATTTGGAGAGGTCCTTTTAAAGAAAAATAATACAAAAGTATAAATACAAAATTGGGTATGAAGGTGAACTTTTTAGACTGATAAATAAGACACAAGTTATACATCTTTAAACATTGATAAATCCACAAACATCAGAGAAATGATCTTGACTCTGTACACTTTATACTTTGATTCTCTTTCATTGCCCTGTATGTTTCCAGTCCTGGGTACCTCTGGACACATGTAAATGACCAAATCTAATTTGGATCTTCCTGCTCCTATGCTGTGTGCTGCTCCATGGGCCTTGAAGTCTTCCCGAATCCATTCTCTTACTGCGTTTGCTGGCAGCCTTTTAGCTAGCTCCAGAAGCGACTGGGCATCTCACATACCTTCTACCAAAGCCACACTCAGTGTATTATTTCCAACTCAAATCCCCATCAGCCAGATTTGAAAAACACCCACAGCAGGAGGTTAAGTGTGATGAAAGGGAAGTCCTACTGGAAAAAGTCAGAAACCTTAGCCAATTGTGTTTAGAATATCTTGCTCTTGAAAGTGTTACAAAGGATACATGATGAAGGCCTCAGAAGAGGACGAGCTCTTAGAGGGACCATCAAGCCTGTGCTTCATGGGCTTCTCAGGAAAGCTGCCTTTATGCATGTGCGTGTACCCTTACACTCTGGACGCTCCTGTGCAGTATCTAATGGTTCCATTTAAAAATTGCGTGATTGGGTGGTTCCCTAAACCCTGATTGGAGGGGTAGGAACAAGATGGGTTAACTTACTTTTTGCAGAAGTTACACTTAGTTATACAGGCAGCCCTACATGCCCCAGTGGTTGGGTGGCACCTGATGGAATGACTGAACCGTTAGGTACCACATGTTTATAGGCACGAGATAGAATGTGGGGAGGAGAAAGAGACTTGTTTGGGCCTGACACCCATTTACTACTTAATAACTCAGTTATTAAAATTGCACCTCTTTGTTTTATTCTCCTCAGAGTTCAGGAACAAAATACCAAAACGTTAATTAAAATCTATGAAAGGTTAGCTGGGAGTTCAGTGTAGTTGGATAATATCTAAATGTGAGACATTGGTTGCCAGCAGAAGAGGCCCATTTCCCAATTTTTACTTTAAAAAAAAAGAGACTGTTAGTGTACAACACTTAGCACACTGGAGTTCTATGAAGCCATGAACAACGGGATATTGTAGAAGAGAGAATGAAAACTTTAGAGGGGGAAAGTAAAGGTGTATCATAGAAAAAAATGAATAGGAGGAGAAGAAAATTGGATTTAATTGTATCCAGAGGGATGCAGATATTTACCAATTGTTTGTAGATTGGAGATAGTAGTTTTAAATGAAAATTTACATTGTGGGAAATGAAGAAATAGAGTTTGATATATTTCTTAACTTTTCTGTGAAAGGAATTATTGTGGTTCCTATGAAAATGTTTTATTTTTATCTCTTTTTTAGGTCAGACTGTGCCAAAATCCCAAGCTTCAGTTGAAAAATAGCCCACCATATATACTTGACATTTTACCTGATACATATCAGCATTTGCGACTTATATTGAGTAAATATGATGACAACCAGAAACTCGTCCAACTCAGTGAGAATGAATATTTTAAAATCTACATCGATAGTCTAATGAAAAAGTCAAAGCGGGCAATAAGACTCTTTAAAGAAGGCAAGGAGCGGATGTATGAAGAACAGTCACAGGACAGGTAAGAATGTTTCAACTTTTATTGTTTTTAATGGTAAGCTCATAATTTCCATGGCTTTTGGCTTCACAGCATAAATGTCACAGTATCTTTGTTGCAGAAGAAATACTGCATTTGTGTATTTGCTTTTCACGTTACTTAAACCTTGTAGTTTTACTTAATTTTTTTTGTGATAATAGCTACTTCATGAGACCCTGGTTTTTCTTAAACTTTCATTTTTAGAGTGGTTTTAGGTTTACAGAAAACTTACTCCAAAGTTCTCATCTACTGCCCTGTTATTAGTATCTTTCATGGTGTGATACATTGATAAACCAATATTAATATGGTATTATTAACTAAAGCTCAAAGTTTATATTAGCATTCACTCTTTCTGTGGGTTTTAACAAACTATATGACGTCAGGTATCTACCATTACAGTATCATATAGAATAATTTCACTGCCCTAGAAATACCCTGTGCTCTTGCCTGTTCGTTGCCCCTCTACTCCCCCACCTCCATCCCACAACTTCTGAATCCCTGGCAACCACTTATCTTTTTACTCTCTTTATAGTTTTTCCTTTTTTAGAGTGTCATACAGTTGAAATCATATAATATGTAACTTTTTCAGACTGGCTTCTTTCCCTTAACAGTATGTGTTTAAGGTTCCCCCTTGTCTTTTTGTAGCTTGATACCTCATTTCTTTTTATCACTGAATACTCCATTGCATGGAGGTACTGCAGTTTGTTGATCCATTCGTCTGTTGAACGATATCATGGTTGCTTCCAATTTTTGACAGTTATATATAAAGCTGCTATAAAGATTCATATGCAGGTTTTTATGTGCACATAAGCTCTCAGTTCATTTGAGTAACTACCTAGGAGCATGACTGCCAGGTCTTATGGTAAGCCCGTGTTTTAGCTTTGTAAGAAACTCCTACTGTTTTCCAAACTGGCTATACTGTTTTTGCATTCTCACCAGCGATGAATGAGAATTCCTGTTGCTCTCCATGCACCAGTGTTTGGTCTTGGTGGGACTGTCTTTAAGACACAGTCTTGACTGGATATGTGCATGTCATAGGTGTGGGTGGGAGATGACACTGGATTCTCATGGTTTGACTGTTAAGTGAGAAACTGAACAGGGGTGGCAAAGACTGGAGGGATATCAACTGAATCTTTACTTTCCAGCCAGGATTCCAGACTTAGAGACTCCCCTTTAAAGTCTGTTGTCTGGCTATTTCAATGTTACATCTCATTACCTATCTTAAATCAAATGAAGAAAAGTAGTTTTCCATTTCTGGGATATTTTAAGTTTATCTAGAATATTCACTGATAGTGATAGTATATTTACATTTCTACATTTGAAAACAAATATTAATTAAAATTCATACTATCTTAATATAGGTTAGTTGGATTTTAGTTTAAGACACTTAATCTTTCCAGATTTTAGTTTCTTTACATATAGGATAACCTCCAAGAAACTGCTAATCTTTCTTTCAGGTCAGAAAAGCTAGCCTCATGTAGTCTGATAAAACATGGGGTTGTATAATAGCAAATTCAGTTATCTAGGTGTATAGACTCTGAACTTGTCTGTAAATAACAGCCAAACAAATACCCAGAGTGAGTAAAACCATAAAAATCAAACACAGAAAAACCCTTTGCCAAGATGTAAAATGGCATAAATGTTTGCTTATTTATAATTTGTTCTCTAAATTAGTGATGAACTCTATAATCATAAATGTCTACCCAATTATAACTATAGGCTCCTCATTTAATATACTTAGATCACAGTGTACATATCTTGAAGGTGGTGAATCTTTCAGTTGCCTTTTAGTTTTAAAGCTCTTAGATTCTCCAGGACTGCCAAGAGGAATGTGAATCACCACATGGTATCAGAAGCAAAGTAGAGAAATATCATAGTGATTATTTCTTCTTACAGTTCTTTCAAGAATGACCCAGGTTATGCGGAGGCCAGCTGTTTATGTTTGAAACTATATTTTTACTTTGTAGTTCTACCAGTGACTTAATAAAATCAGGTTGTTATTGGGTTTTTTTAAAGATTTTATTTATTTATTTGACAGACAGAGATCACAAGTAGGCAGAGAGGCAGGCAGAGAGAGAGGAAGGGAAGCAAGCTCCCTGCTGAGCAGAGAGCCCAATGCGAAACTCAATCCCAGGACCCCAGGACCATGACCTGAGCCGAAGGCAGAGGCTTTAACCCACTGAGCCACCCAGGCGCCCTAAAATCAGGTTGTTTTATGACTGTATTTATACTTCTTATTCAAATTTAGTAGCCCTGAAATTCTTCATGAACCAGCAAAAAAATCCATTTAATTTCACTTATTAGGACATCAGGTTAGTGAGAAGGCATTTAATTTCTCGGTCCAGGAATTTGATCAGATAAAGTATTTTCATTGGATGTAGTCATATGTGATAAGCTTGTACCCCACTCTAATGACTTCTTTAGAAACCTAAAACATTTTCTAACCCAGTCGATGTAATTACCATTTATATATTTTGATACTTTTGGCTTTTTATGTGGGAGCATATCATGAGGGAATCTCTATAAATGTTGGTTGCTTGTGGTAGATTCCCACAGATGATGATAGATTGCATAATGCTGATCGATCATGTTGAGTTGACTCTATAAATTCTTTGTTTTACGTGTCCAAGTAAATTTTGTCACTCTCCTAAATTCAACTGTAAGACAAAGTTTATTAGTTTCTGTGCTGATATAGCATATTCCTAAATGAATTTTACCGTCATCCATGTTCATTTTCTGATAGTGTTCTGTGACCAGCTGTTCTTATGTAGAACTTACATTTGATACATGTTTAATCAGAATTCATAATAATGGACCATTCTTGCTATACCATAACAAGGATATAGATTTTGATTTATGTTTCTTTTGGTAGTAATATGTTTTTACACATTCACTTTTAGGATTTTAAATGCAAGGTGAGGCTAAAGTGTGCCATTGTACATGGAACTCTGGGACCTTTTGCTCTATAGAAAATAAAAGAAACTTCTTAGAATATTCTTATGGTGGGCAACAAAGTATTCTGTTTGGTAGAATAAGCTTTATAGAATATGGACGATGCACTGATTGCTGGGAATATTATAAAATTTTTCCATGGGATGCCAGGGCAGCTCAATCTGCTGAGCCACCCAGGTGTCCCTATAACCTGAATTTTTAAAGCGATTTCACAGAAATGCGACAAATATCATAAATAGAAGGATAAATGAAAAAAATATAGCCATGGCATGCAATGTATTTTTTGTGTATAGGTGGGAGGTAGAAATATAGATGGATTTATTTGCTAGTGAAATAGGTATCATAGGCATTGTGGAAACTTCCTTGAGGATGGGTGGAATGATGATTTCTGGTGAGAGGCGTGCTACATGCCTTGCTGGACTTTTACAGTGAACCTTTTCTTTAGTATCACTTCTCCCAAGTTTTTGTTCTTGTTTTTTTTTTCCTTCTCCCTCCTACAAAGAATTGAACCTCACACTAAGTTAGTGCATCTCCAGCTGAACGCCTAAACCATTCTGAGCTGCTCTTTTTGGGAAGAGTAATTCAGCGATTTCTGGCACACAGAAGGTTTTTGTGTGTATGTATGGGATTGAGCCTGGGGGTCACGTAGAGAAGGGAGAATCTGTAGTTTCAAGCACGGAAGAGAGGTGAAACTTTCTATCATCTGGCTTAAATTTTTAGTGGCAAGAGTCAAAATGAGTGTGAAGGTAGTTATTGCTAACAAATGTAGAATTGACAGGAGGGGGCCTTTCTTCAGAGATTCGGTTTCATCAGTTGACCATTTCAATAGTGAAATTTACTCTTTCATATAAAAAGTTATGCGATAATCACCTGCTCGGCAGGGCCAGGTTTGGGACACTGTTTTAGAACACCCAGAGGGGATGGCCTGAGGATACTCAGATTTTCCATTTTTCAGAGCTGCTTCAGTGAACCAGAGTGCAACAACCCATTTTCCCCTCCCACACTCTGGTTTACAACCACTGAAACAAAACCAAAAGTCAACTGAGGTGGAAAAATAGCTCTGGGTTTGATGGCCTATCTGTCAAGAAAATAAAGGCTTTAAAAAAAAAAATCATGCCCGAAAAGTAATACATAGATGCTGTTGTGTTATTGATGTCATTTCAAAGCCGCTGGACCATTCCTTATGCACATGAATTGTAGAAAATCAGAGTGTGCATAGCTTGTATAATAATATGCATTCCAAGTAAGAATTTTTTTTTAAGTATTTCAACATAGAAAAATTAGTCCTGGAAGATGCTAGTCTTTATTTAAAATCATTCAGGAGTATCAGGCAAAAATCTTTCTCTCCACTGACCATTTGACTGAACAAAGAAGAATGTATTACCTGCTAGATTAATAAAGTGCTTTTCCCTCTAAAGGACTACAAATCACTATGCTCGCTGTTTATACCTGTGCTATAATTTATGAGAGAGTGTACTAAGAACCTTTGGAACTGATATTTTAAAGATACATGGTTAAGTTAAAAAGTTGAATCAAAAAGTGTCAGCAACAACAGTAACAGGAGCAACAAAAACACAAAACTGCAAACAAGCCTATTTAGGTTTCTTGATACCCCGTATACCAGCGTGGCTTTGGCCAAATAATAATGTATCAGTTTAGATGTTTAATTTCTATAAATGCAAATTCAGTTGATTGCATTGGTCATGGAAGTAGTCATGAAATTCCTTCTGGGTTTTCAGTTTAATCGTAAAGAGACCTACCTATATGCACAAATTGGGCTTCATGTAATAGTTTTCATTATTACTAGAATTCTCAGGTTAATGGCCTTGTTTAAAATGCCACATTAAGTTCTACATTTTCTCATAGGCAGCTCTATATGTTGCGAGAAGGAGATAAGGAAAGAAGTAACTTTGAATGGTCTGATGCCATTTCTGCTCTAAGTGTTCTTTGTAGCCTTGGTTAGTTTCTTGACTCCAATCTATGTTTTTTCAGTCTTTTTAAATTATTTTCTGGATGGCCGCAGTATTTTTTGG